GAACTGGGGTACAGGCCAGAGGCTCAGGGGCGGCGAGAGGCTTCACCAGAGACAGAGTGGGGAGCAGAACAGGCAGATTGACGAAGCACACTGCTGAGGGGAGCAGCAGGCGGGTCAGGAGAGGTCTGTCGCGCCATGGGGTCACCTCCGGGGCAGGCGGGAGTCGAACTCATGCTGAAGTGGCTTTAGTTTCTTAGTGCTGCGCTTTTACCCGGTGCGCCACCAGGGAGGGCCTAAAGTCTATATTCTTAACCTTTAAGCTATACTGCCCAGACATCGAATAGCTAATATTTGTTGAAAAACTGAAATGTAGTAATCAACTGCCACAAGTGTTGTTATATAGTGATGAGCACATATGAAGTATCAGTCAGAGGCCACTGAAGTGAGGGGCTCTCTCTGTAGACTAAATTACTGATGTTCTTTTAAATAAACTTTATCCTTTTATCCCCATAGTTAGGCATAGATACTCCTCACTGCTATTATCCCAGTATCTATCTCTAGTAGAAAAATCAAGTAGAAAGTCAAAAATCTAGTAGAAAAATCAAAAATCTTCTCACCTGAGGCAACAACAAGATACCACATAATCTAGAATATATTAAAATCATTATAAAACTCAGGCTGTTGTTAAAGGTTTCTTTTATAGAGCGAAGTATATAAGGCTTGATAATGGCTCAGAATGGCTTTTTCTTATTTTCCAGGCCAGTTTTTACTTAACTTCTGTTTCTAGAAAGTTGAGATTGTTGATCTCATAGCTATCAAGTGGAATTACTCGTAAAACTAACAGACTTAATCTGTTCTGAGATGTAATAAGTTTACCATACCTATAGTTATTAAACAGAATATTGTAATGAAAGTGTGACTGTGTATAAGTAAGAAAAACAAAAATTACCTTGTAAATAATTTTTACAAGCTCCATTATTGTAAAAGATTTCTCAAAATCATCACGAAATACTGTAAGAATTTGCTCTTCTCTTGTATTTCTGTGAGAAATGTACTGTAGAATTTTAGCTTCAGCATTATGGATTACTGGGCCATGTCCTAAATTAAATTATAAAAATTAGTTCAGCCATATAAAAAACATCAAAAGCAACTGAATTTAATACATTCTATTTAAAATTGACTCATAAAAATATTGAAAACACATAAAATACATGAAAAATGAGTGACTTGGAGAACAATATAGGTTTAAGAAATTTACAAATTATGTATAATGCCAAAAAATTTGAGAATTATATCAAATGAAATCTAGGCAAAAAGTTACTTTGTACATTAAAATATAAAATAAAAGTTTAACAATTAAAATAAAGTATTAAAAATAGTAACCATAACAATAACAATAGATGATGTTTAGAGAGCTCATTACATGCCAGGCATTGTGTTAAATGTCCTATATATTTACAATACTCCCACAAAGAAGATATGATATTATCTTTTCTTTATATTAGAAACTTAGGCATAGAGAAGGTGAATAACCTGTTTACAGTTAGGCAGCTAAGGAGGAGTGGAGCTGGGATTCTAAAACGAACTTTGAAATACTTTGCTCTTAACCACTATGCTACAATACTTACAAAAGATTGAAAAGGGAATATAAGAGGTAGCTTCATGTAAGTGATCAAGAACTATTAAAAATTCATATGGATCATACAGAATTTTAAGAAGCCTATGAATAGGCTAGTAATTCAGAAATGTTGACCTTCTACATTGGTTTATTGAAATTTATTTGCTCTTAACATAGTGTAAATTAATATATTATACGACCCTGTCAGAGAGATGCTTATATTATTTGAGAACAAAATATGCAGAAGTAGCCTAGTCTAATTATCTTGTAAAGAGCATGGGCTTTACTTAGAATACTGACTATTAATACTGATTAGCTATGTGGCCATGAAAATTCCTGAATCTCTGAGCTTGTTAATTCAGTTGTGCAACGAGGTCACCACAGTATACTTCACTGGGTTTTTGTGGGCATGACAGCTGTTAAAGTCCTTGCAGAGTACCTGAAGGGTAGCAGGCTTTAATACATAAGTAGCTATGGTGAAAGAACATAATTTACATATAAGCTCCTGCTATGCTAATAAGCCAGTTCACTGGATTCACTAAAGCAAACCTAAGAACCTTTATGAGGCAGTCTATCATTAGCTTTGCTTCAAAGTTATTACATCAAATGTATATTCTTTTCTTTAAGATAGATGTCAGTTTCCATTACTTTTATGTCATATATTAATCCTAGTACCTAGCTTCATTGTGTATTTCCTACTCCCCTGGTAGAAAAAAATGGTGAGAGAACACAGGGTTTTGTAGACACAATATTTACATCTTTTCCCAAGGTGCTTTGGTTAGGAGCAAGTTAGAAAGCTATAAAAACTTAAGTAACCTATAATCTATTTTTTCCTTCTGGGTGTTGATTTTGGGTTTTGTATTTTAGCTTACAGGAAGGAGGGAATATTAACAAAGAGCAATGCACTGACAGTTCAGACACTAACAACAGGTTTTTCTGCAGAACCAAAAGAAATATATAATTTTATAATTTTTAGGTAAGTTACTGTTCTTTCAATAATGAATTAAAAAAAGTGAAGGGTACACAGCTAAAATGTGGTTCATAACAGAAATCAAGTTAAGAAATAAGAGGCATGCATATGGGATGAAGTTTTTTTCCTTCTTCCAATATAAATTTCCTTTAACTATTAATGTCATGGAGATGTTAAAAATAACGTCATATTGTCATAAAAATTATTTAAAAAAAAATGAGGTTCCACTGCTTGATATCCTATCCTGCTATATAATTTTTTTACAGTATAATATTTCTCCCCTCAAGTGTGGTCTCCACAGCTCTCCCACCACCAAAGTAACCACAGTCCTCCAGCATGGTCCCCCGTGCACCCCCTTTATAAAAAATTATTACTATAACTCTTAAGCTTTCTCTTTAACCACAAAGGTAGGTAAAAGTTAGGGTTAGAATTTAAAGGAGCAGTTTATATTTTCAAGGCTGAGAACACAAAGAACAAACACATACAGACAAATCAAAATGATTTTTTTCTCATCCTTTGCCTGATGCAAGTGGTTTTTAAGATTTACAAAATTGCCCACCTGGGTATATAATATTAGCTTTGATTTTCAATAAGTCTTTCAGGGAATTCATATAATCATAGAGATCTTCAAATATAGTTGTCCCTTCCCCTAGGATGCAATCTCCAGAAAAGAGAGCATTTTCCTCCTCTAAAAGTAGAGCCATATGATCATCAGTATGGCCAGGTGTATATATAACTCTGTTGAAAAAAGAAAGAAAGAATAATGGGTATAAATTCTTATACTTAGAAGAAAATTTGAGAAGTAAAATTTTCTCTATGTTCTCTGTATAAGATACAAATAAATGGTGTCAAAAGTTAAAGAGCTTCTTTTATCACTGTGGGTCAGTGAGACATCATCAGAAAATTTTCTTCTTTAAATTTCTTACTCTGAAGTATAAATTTGTACTTCCCCATTTTTTTCCCTTATAGTAAACAATGATTACAACAAATCTGAAAAGGAGAATTAAAGGACATAAAAATTACCAATAATTTTACCCTAAGACTGTACTTTCTTATTTACAAATTTTTTTTTTTCAGTTTTATATACACATACACAGCACACTTGATGGCAGGGCTATGGGTATAAAAGCACTTTTACATGTTGCTGGTGAGAGAGTAAAATGGTACAGATATTTGGAGAGGAATTTGGCATTTTCTAGCAAAATTACGTAGCATTAACATTCTCGCCTATCAATCCTACTGCTAGAAATTTATCCTGAAAACATACCTTCACAAATACAAATAATATGTACAAATTATACTGAAATTATGCATGGTAACAAAACATTAGGACCATCCAAATTAACAGAAAATTCATCAAAGAAAATATCCAAAAGATGTAGGAAAAAATGTTCATCATTACTTTCAATAAGAGATATGCAGGTTGAAATCACAATGGATGCTATCTCACACCCATCAGAATGGCACATATTAAAAAGACCATCAACGAGTGTTGGAGAAGATGCAGAGAAAAGAAACCCTACTGTACTGTTGGTGGGAATATAAACTGGCACAAGTCACTATGGGAAGTAATTTGGATTCATTTTAATAAATAAAACAAAATGACCCAATGACAACTCTGGGGAATCTAACCAAAAAACATGAAATCATCACTGTGACAATTATTTGCTGTACGACATTTATTGCAGCATGATTTAGAAAAGCTATAGGATGGAAGCAGTCTGATAGCTATCAAGGAAGATTTGATAAAATAGATGGCGTTTATCCACATTATGGAACACTATTCAGCCACAAGGAAAGATGAAATGTGGCTATTTTCACCAAAATGGGGGGAGTGAGAAGGAATTATATGTAGAAATGTCAGAATGACAAAAACAAATACTGGATATTTATACAATAGACAATTTGACAAATTAAAATGCTTATAAAAACAACTAGACATTAAATAAATGCAGTGATGGCTCTGCAGTTAAGGGGAGAGGGAGACAAGAACAAAGGGATATATGATAGGAAAAAAATAGAAAAACAGAGAAAAAGAGAACTTGTTAAAAAAATAGTAAAGTTGGCCCTCCCTGGTGGTGCAGCGGGTTAAAGCACAGCACTGAGAATCTAAAGCCGCTACCGCATGAGTTCAATTCCCGCCTGCCACGAAGGTGACCACATGGCGTGGCAGACCTCTCCTGGCCCTCCCGCTGCACCCCTCAGCAGTGTACTTCGTCAATCTGCCTGTTCTGTTTCCCACTTTGTCTCTGGTGAAGCCTCTCACCGCCCCTGAGCCTCTGGCCTGTACCCCAGTTTTGTATGTACAAATAAATAAATCTTTAAAAAAAATAGTTAAGTCTAAACAGTATGCTCTGTGAGCACCCCCTTGATTTCTCAGTCACTATAAACTTAATCCTCTATACTGATCATTTTTCCTCTGTATTACTTTTGCACTGTAGATTATACTTCTATTATTGCAGGCTTCACACAGCTTTGTTATTTGTTTACCATTTTATTTCACAAGACAATCAATTCGTGGAAGGCAGGACTCTTGTTTTTTCTATCTTTAAGTTCCTTGTATTGACACTTAGTCGTAGCTAATAGTATATTGCTTTCTAGGTGCCAGTAACAGTCTTCAGGGATTTATAGGTATTATACAGTTAACCTTTATGCCACTATAGAATGGGTACTATTAATCACTTTACATTCTAGATAATGGAATCACAAGAGATAGTAATAAGTATGTGATACAATATGGTTTAAATTGTATCTTATTTAGCTTAAGAGACTGTAGCATTTTTATATGCTTGGAGTATTTTTTTTTATAATATACTAGTTTATTTTTACATCATTTTGTACATTTTTTTTTCATCTCCATTGTAATCCCCGTGGGTTTCCCATCACTGAGTCACCCATGTGCCATCACCATAGTCCTGTGCACTTCCCTCCTCCCCTCCCCGTTTTTTATTATTTTATATACACATACACAGCACACTTGATGGCA